TGGGTCTGTCACAGTTACTACTTCTGCCTCCGTAATGGCGCCATGGAGTCCTCGGTTCGTCTAAGCGAATGGGACAACCGTGAAGTCGAGCGAGACCATGTTCAGGGATGGTCCTACCGCCATGGCATATTATAAGAATATGTGGACTCCTAAAGACATTGAGGTGGCTAGAGGTTTGTCTCAAAAGAAAGTGTTCAGCCGCTTCCCCTTATCTGCCATGGAGATAACTTTTTCCCCCTTAATCACTAGATCTTTTCATAGTCTTTACACTTGACCTCCTTTGACCATGCGCTTGATTGACCTTGTTCGGTATGATGGCCATGCAGAAGCAAGTGGAACTGGGGAATGTGATGAGCGCTGAAAAGTGCGTATTTAAACCCCTTAAGCTTAGGCATTCTAGTACCTTTATCTATCTTACTTTACCATTTTAGATTGACTTAGTATGATTTCCATTTTTAGGCGCTTATCTTGAAAAAAAGCTAACTCAGCTAAATAAGAGCTTAATCGAAGCAATTCTGGGATTAAACAAAGAAAAGAGCAAAGTGGAGAAAGAAAGAAGCAAATGAAGCCGGTGATAAGCAGCAAAGTTTGATCGATCCAAGTTCAAGGTTCGATCGATCGAATAATGATCGATCTCAGTAATTCAAGATAGATACAAGCCTTGGCCCAAAAGCATTAAGTCCAAAAGTTCGATCGATCCAACACCATCCTTCGATCGATCGAACACTTTTGTCCTTATTCAAATGATTGATCCAATCCACAGCTGTACCACCCACTAACCATTTTTTTCCTTTTCCCATAAATATCTCCCAAAATATCTCGAATTTGTCTTTTTCCAAAAAGCTCAGCCAGTTAGATCGATCCAGCCTAAGTTCGATCGATCTCAGCCAGTTCGATCGATTTAAGTCCAAGGTTCGATCGATCGAACTTCCTCAAGTGCGAAAAAGTTAAATTTCCATTTCATTGAAAGTTGTCCTTTATCCAATCATCAGGGAATATTGTGTGCACGACCCCAGCTCATTTTGGGTGTCATTTTAACCTACCTATATAAGGATAAGGATTACTTTTTACAAGGGAGCCAATATTGTTTTCATATCATTTCTTGGAGCGGAAACTTAGAGGAGGGGAGGCTAGAGACACCATAGGAGACTCTTCATCAACAAGGAGCAGATTTTAACCATGGAATTAGCCCTTGAGGGTTGGAGCATCATTACCATGAGTGGCTAGACATCCTCTTGGGGCTAGAGTGCCCCAATCATGCTTTCTATATCTTAATCTTGTGTATTATTGAGGGATTAGTGTTGTAATTAATGTTTTGAGACTTTGATATATTTAGATCTTGTTTATTCAATGATTTATGTGGTTTAATGCTTCCAATTGATCATTTCATTCTATCCATATGTCTATGTATGCTAGAATAGATGTTCATATGCTTGTCTCTAGATTTTGTGTTATTGATGCATGTTTATGTGTATTGATGCTATAGATTTGGAGATTGTCAAAACATAGTGCTTAAAGGAATGCTCTTGTGATTCTCTTGATGGTTCATACTTATTCCTTGATGGATTGTGCCTCTCCCCTAGTTTATTTTAATGCTAGTAATGTAGATGTAGTGTAATTGTAATGTAGTGTTAAATGGGAGGACAATCTATGCTTGTTGTTTGATGATCCAAGCTTTTGAATGCAAGTAGCATATGTCTCTATCCTTGTGTTGTATTTGGATTGTGAGCTTAATGAAAGGATTAACGACTTGTTTTGATCTATTGTGCCTTTCACATGTTGTTTAGACAATATATGTTTAACTAGTTATTTTTGCTTGTTGAATCAACCAAACACACATACACACCAATATTGCAACACACCATTTGCCCTCATTAATCACTTGGCAATGATATAAAAATGCATTGCTTGGTGGTGATCTCTAAACCCCAAGATCTCTCTCTCTTACTTACTTTTAATTGCATTCTTTTGCTATCACTTAGTTTAATTTAGTTGTTCATTAATCAACCAACCAACCAATTGTTTGATCACTCGACCTACTAGCCCTAATAACGATTCCACGACATTGCTCGATCCTCACAATCCCTTGGGACGATCCCTACTCGCCCTAGCTATATTTATAGTGAAAGGTAGTAGTGGCTTCTATAAATGTAAAATTCTTGGCCCTCGCCTTAATGCATACTCTTAAGCTTGTGGTGTAGCAACACTCGAAGGAGACCCCACCAGAATGCCAAGGCTCGTAAGTTTTCTGATAGCCTTGATGTGGCCAAAAAAGAGAATGAGATCATTAGCACCAAAAATGCCGAGCTGATGATTCAGCTTGACAAAGTTGAAAAAGAGAGAGACGTTCTGAAAAAGGAGGCAGATTCTCTCCAGGATGAAAAGGACGCTCTGTAAATTGAGAAGAGTGTTTGGCATACTGAGCGTGAATCATTTAGGGCTAAGAAAGGAGAACTTCAGCGCCTACTTAGTGATGAGCAAACCGCGTGAATGGCTTTCGAGAAAAGGACCTTGGAAGAACGCGATGCCCTGCTTAACATTATTGGTAAATTAAATGGCGGTATGATGGCTCTTCACGCACGCTTTTCCAGGGTTGGTGCCTTCAAGTATGCACAGGGGTTCCGAGAGGGTTATACCGACCGCATTCCTGCCGAAGGCTAGATCGGTTTTACTCCGGATGAGGTTGATAAGGAGTTAGAGATTGATCCCCCAGGAGCCTATGTTGATCTAGACTCCACTCCTGCTGAGCATATTTTTGATGAGTGTCAGGAGATTGCTTCTTCTAGGGTCACTCCTACTCCTACCACTGATTAGCCCCACCCTGGTCCCTTCTGTGACCACTGTCGAGGTTGAGACTTAACAGAACGACTCTGTTATTCAGCTAGATTCTCCTCCTCGTGGAGATAGGGTGACGAATGGTGGCGAGGAGATAGGTCAGCTCAACCAGGAGGGTGATGGAACAGAGGTAGTCAGTTAGGGTTCTCCTGATGCCATAATTTCTTTCTTTTTGTATTCATGTCATCTGTATACCTCACGGGTTGTAACCTCAAAATTCTTATTATAAATGAGATGACAGATTTTTTGGCTGAACTTTGCTCCAAGATTTTTTTACATTTTCCTATTGATTACACCTGTTCATCAGTAATAATAATTAACTTCATATTCGGCTTCGACAAGTTTTGGCGTTCGGCTCATAGTGCCAGCTGCCACTTACTTTGCTGAGTGGTTGACGCTCGGCTGGAATGCCACTTGCCACATTCACTCTTTATTTCTTTTTTTGCCAAGTTTCTGGCGTTCGGCTCATAGTGCTAACTGCCACTTATTTTGCAAAGTGGTTGGCGCTCAGCTAGAATGCCACTTGCCACCTTCACTCTTCATTTTTTGGCAAGTTTTTGGCATTTGGCTCATAGTGCCAGCTGCCCCTTATTTTGTAGAGTGGTTGGCACTTGGCGAGAATGCCACTTGCCACTGTCACTCTTTATTTTTTGGCAAGTTTCTAGCGTTCGGCTCATAGTGCCAGCTGCCAGTTACTTTGCCGAGTGGTTGCGCTCGACTAGAATGCCACTTGCCACTGTCACTCTTCATTTTTTGGCAAGTTTCTGGCGTTCGGCTTATAGTGCCAGCTGCCACTTATTTTGTAGAGTGGTTGGCGCTCGGCTAGAATGCCACTTGCCACTGTCACTCTTTATTTTTTGGCAAGCTTCTGGAGTTTGGCTCATAGTGCCAGCTGCCACTTACTTTGCAGAGTGGTTGGCGCTCGGCTAGAATGCCACTTGCCACCTTCACTCTTTATTTTTTTGCAAGTTTTGGCGTTCGGCTCATAGTGCCAGCTGCCACTTACTTTGCTGTTTTCAAACACTTAATTTTTCAGAAGAAGATAGCTCTTTATAGATTTCAAAATTCCGTATATTCGTATGTACACAATTTAAAAATGAACAATGATAAAATTGGAACTCGACTTTCTATTGATAATACCTTTTCAGAGATGTAGCATTCCATGGCTTGTTGACCAGCCTTCCAGCCATGGTTTCTAAGGTGTAAGCCCCATTTCCTATGACTTCTGCAATTCTATATGGGCCTTCCCAAGGTGACACCATTTTTTTAACCATTCCTACCTTCCTCTTCAGAACCAGATCACTTGGTGCAAAGTCTCTATGCTTTACCTTTTTGTTATGGCTGTTCATAAGAGTCTGCTAGTAGGATGCGAGCCTTACTGCCATTGCATCTCTCTTTTCCTTCAACATATCGAAGCTAAACCTCAACATACTGTCGTTTCGCTCTCGGTTCCATGCTAAGCTTCGGACAGTCGGAACCAAGTGCTCAACCGGTATAACTGCCTCAGTACCATATGCCATGGTGAATGGGCTCTCTCCAGTCAGTCGTCTTGGGGTCGTTCTATAAGCCCATAAGACTTTCGGCAGTTCATCTAACCATTTTCCTTTCTGATCCTCGAGCTTCTTCTTGATGTAAGCAAAGATTCTTCTATTTGTGATTTTTACTTGGCCATTTGCCTGCGGATGACTTATTGCTACCAACTTCTGGTTGATTCCATACTCTTCTAGCAACTCTTTTACTTGCTTACTATCGAGATTAGTTCCACTATCCATGACGATCGACCTTGGAACACCAAAGCAGCAAATAATATTATTCTAAATGAAGTGCCTCACATGAGTTTGGGTTACACTGGGATATGGCTCTGCTTCCACCCACTTGGTAAAATAATCCGCTGCTAACAGAATGTACTTGTTCTGTGATCTTGCGGTCGGCAGAGGGCCAACCACATCCATCCCCCATAATGCGAAAGGCTAAGGCGTGGCCATTACGTGCAAATCTTCAGGTGGTTAGTGAATCAGTGGTCCGAACCTTTGGCATTTATCGTATCTTCTAGAGAATTTTTCTACATCTCGTGACGTGTTTGGCCAAAAAGACACTTGTGTCATTGCTTTGTGCGCTAAAGACCTCCCCCCTAAATGATTCCCTCATACACCTTCATGAATGGTTCACAATATTTGCCGAGCCTTTGTGGGGGTGACACATTTTAAGTATGGCCCAGAAAAAGATCTTCGGTACAACTGGTTATTCACTATGCCATATTTCGCTGCATTTGACTTAATTTTTCGAGCTTCATCCCTTTGTTCGGGCAGAATACCATCCCGTACATAAGTTATGATCGGATCTATCCAACTCGGTTCATATGGAATGACATTCACCTGCCAAGGATCTAAGCCTGAAGGTTCTTCGAAGATGGATGGCTGGTTCAATATACTTACTGGGATCACCCTCGCCAATGTCTCCCCAGAATTCGAAGCACTGCATGCCAACCGGTCGGCGTCTTCATTTTGCTCCTTTGGTAACTGGACAAACTTGACATTGTCAAAATTTTTAGCCTCGCGCATGACGGCAAAACGGTATGCCTCCATTGTTTCGTCCTTAGTTTCATATTCGCCATTCACTTGGCGAATAACCAACTGTGAGTCACTAAAAGCGGTTAAGTCCTGACTTTTAGCTCGTTGGCTAACTTGAGTCCCATCAGCAACGCTTCATATTCTGTTTCATTATTAGTGGCTCAGAATTCAAGTCGGAGCGCTTGACTTAGGAGTATGCCTTCTGGCGTCTGTAGTTTGATCCTAATGCCTGCCCCCAGCTGATTTGAGGATCCATCTACGAAGAGTTTCCATGGACAACTGCGAAGGTCTTCCTCCACATCCTCTGAATCACATTCTAGCAAGAAATCAGCCATTGTTTTCCCTTTGATAGCCGTTCTAGGTTCATACGTTATGTCAAACGAACTTAACTCTATGGCCCACTTCGTCATTCTCCCCGAGAGGTCTGGCTTATGCAGGATCACTCTGATTGGAAAAACGGTCATAACGACGATAGGATGGGATTCAAAATAATGTCTTAGCTTCTTTTTTGCATTTACGAGCGAGAGTATCACTCGTTCGGCCTTTGAATATCTCCATTCGGCATCAGTCATTGTTTTGCTGACATAGAACACTGGGTACTGAGCTCTTTTCTTGCAGCGGATCAAAACAGTACTCGTCGCAATACTAGATACCCCGAGGTATAAAAATAACTTTTCTCCTGGTTCGGGAGCAGACAGGATCGGAGGGCTCTGCATATATTCTTTCAAACTAGTTAGCACTTGTCACTGTTCATCCCCCCAAACTTGTCTCCCATTGCTTCGTATGGTATCAAAGAATGACTTGCAGTGATCTGACAACTTAGAAATAAACTGGCTCAGTGCAGCTATCCGACCTGTGAGGGCTTGTACTTCTTTAATTGTCTTTGGTTCAGCATTCTTGGTCAGAGCCTCTGCTTGGGTTGGGCTTGCCTCGATTCCTCTGTGATTAACCACATGTCCTAGGAATTGACCAGAACTTATACCGAATGAGCATTTGGTTAGATTAAGCTTCATTCCATATCTTCTCAATACCTCAAACACGTCCTACAGATGCTTCAAATGGTCAACTCTTCTCTTGCTTTTCACCACCATGTCGTCAATGTAAGCCTCTACAGTCTTCCCCATCTGATCCTTGAAAATCTTGTTGATCAGCCCTTGATAAGTTGCCCCAGTATTCTTTAATCCGAACGGCATAACTTTGTATTAATAGGTCCCTTGTTCGATTACAAAAGAAGTTTTCTCCTCATCAGCCGGGTTCATGGAGATTTGATTGTATCCTGAATAAGCATCCAAGAAAGTTAAACGTTCGTATCCAGTAATGGCTTCCACTATTTGATCAATCTTTGGCAGCAGAAAACTATCCTTCAGATAAGCTTTGTTTAAATTAGTGAAATCAATGCATACTCGCCACTTCCCATTCTTCTTTCACACAACTACAACATTCGAAAGCCAGTCCGAGTAATATACTTCTCTAATGAATCTCGCATCAAGCAACCTATCAACCTCCTCGGCTATGATCCGATTACGCTCTAGAGCGAATCTTCTCTGCCTCTACCTTACAGGCTTCGCGTTTGGATTGACGTTGAAAGAGTGGCAGGATGCCGAAGGGCTTATTCCGGGCATGTTTGAGTGGTTCCAAGCGAACACATCGGCATTCTGAGATAAGAAATCAATTAACTCCCGTTTCTCTTCCTCGGCAAGTCTTATTCCTACTCTGGTTGTTCGTTCCGGTTTGTTATGATCGATCTGCACATCAACAAGGGGTTCTTTGGTTAAGATCCCCAACTCTTCCTCCCCACTTTGGCTGGGTGGAGGCTCCTGTAATTGCTATCTGGGGCTTGCAGAACGGATGAGAGCTTTTCCCTTTGCAGCAGATTTCAGTGTCACAGAATAACATTCCTTAGCTGCAACCTGGTCCCCATGAATGTCAATCACCTTATTTCCGTCAGGCCCTAAGCATCTCATCACTTGGTGTAGAGTCGAGGGAACACCCTAAACTCTATGAATCCACCCTCTGCCCATCAGAAGGTTGTACGACGGATGGATCTCAACAACCACAAAGCTCTCTATCAGAACCCTTTCTGCAGCCTGCACTACGACTTCTACCATACCAATGGGTTCCACCCGTTTTCCATTGAACCCTAGCAAGGGATTTGCAGTAGGCTTGAGCCTCTAGGGTTTTATTTTGAGCCGATCGAACATGTCCCTCGGTATAACATTCGCACTACTTCTAGGATTAATCAGGACTCGTCGTACCAGGCACTCCGCTACTGTCAAACTGATGACTAACAGATCCTCATGAGGAATTTAAACACGTAACAAGTCAGTTCTGTCAAACTTTATCTGTGTTGATGCGCTCTGCTGGTGCAGAGTGTTTATATTGCCTATCCTCCTCTTCATCTGTGCCTGGCGGAGGTGTGTTCGAAGCAGTTCATCTGACTCCTTAGTGGGTTCTGGCCGATCGTGAATTACATTGATTATTCAAACTGGTTGCGAGTCTTGGGAGCTCGGCTTCTGATTCCTCTTCACGTGCTCCATTAGTCGGTTCTGTTCTACCGCCGGGCCTTGAATATAACTCGTAAACTCCTCTCTGGCGATTAGCATCTCTACCTATCTCCTCAAGTTCCTGCATTCATTACTCTGATGGCCAAAGTCAGAATGGAATGCACAATGCTTAGACTGGTCCCTCTGTTCAAGGGGCTGTCTGATTGGTAAAGGAGATCGGAACTTATCTTTATTTTCTTGGTACAGCCTTGCTAAAGTGACTTTCAATGGAGTAACCAACTCTTCCTCTCTGGGCCTCTTCTCAGATTTCTAAGAGGTTTGACGCCGTGGCTGAACCTGCTTTTGTCTGATCTTTGCTTTGGTTTTCTCTTCTGTTGATATGATGGATGTCTTCCGAGCGTTAGCTGCCTCTTCTTCTTCTAAGCGCACAAAACCATCAGCTCTTTCATTGAGTTCATCTATAGTCTTCAGTGTATTCACTACCAAGCTTGTGTGGAATGGAGTGCCATGAGTCATGGCCACCGTAGAAGGATGACATTCAATCACCATGCTCTTAGTAAGGTTGAACCTGGTAAGAAAAGCTTGGAGACGCTCGGTATCATGCTACTTCATTGTGAATAAGCTCGAAATGTCCTTTGCTGGACGTTTATTCCCATAGTACTAGCTTATGAACCGATCCCATAAGCTTCGAAAACTATCCACTGAGCCCTTCGGCAGGTTCTTGAACCTGAGCGCTGGTCCAGCTAGACTTGTAGGAAAACATTTGCACATCAAGGAATCGCTCTCAGTGTTCAAGGCCATTTTCAATTGGATGTGATATACATGATCAATCAGATCGGTTGTCCCATCAAATAGAATGAAAACGGGCATGGAGAATTTCCTCGGACTCGGAGCATTCAGAATTTCATCTGTAAACGGCAAGTCAACCGTTCGAGCCGCTGAGCGGAGGGCTTCATTCTCCCTCTGGAACCCTGCGGTAGCTCTCTGATCTATAGATCTCCTTTCTGAGCTTCGATAATCGAACGTTGCCATGGAAAACCGATAAGACGGATCGAATGATCTTTCCTCCATAAACTCTTTGTGCCACGGCAGTATAGCTTTGTAGCGATCAAACTCCATTGCTTCTTCTCGGTTGTGCATTTCTTTATATGGATCAAAGTCATGGCTTCGTTTCGCCTGATCTGTTTACGCCGTGGATCCACGTGAGTTAATCCTTCATGATTATCAACACGATGAGGATTTGGCGGCAAATCATTTGGCAGGACCTCCTCGTGGTGAAAATCTGTCTGGTTGTTCCCTACCTCCTCACTGTGATGTGGAGCACCGGGACTTAGAACTTCTTCTCCTGCCGGGAGTGGTCGCGAAATCACTGGAGCTTCTTGACGCTGCATTTCAGTCCTTAGCTCTGCATTCTCTCTCCTGAGAGCTTCGATCATGTTCATCAACTCATCAGGTTTCATCTGCTGGACATTCTCTACCGGATTGGAGTTCTCACCCCCAGTCATCACTCTGGAACAGAGCAAAGGTATGAATTACAAATTCTAAATCAGATCGGAGTTTCACTAACGCGAATCACGTCAGATCTGGACTCAAATTTTATGAATTACGTTCACCATTTGTTAAATCTGAGCTTTCCTGGCTTTGAACTTGTCAGATCGAGCCACAATAGAATGCATCACCACTGCGTAAATCTGACGCCAATTTCTCAAAATCAATCAGGAATCAAGAACTTCTCAAGAGAAAACCGCAATCCCTCAGATCTGGATTCAACTTCCAGAAATCAAGCTTCGTCTTCACGAATCAGTCTGAATCAACATGATGTTGATCAAACATGCATCAATCTTCCACGCTTCCTATAATACCCCTTGGATCCGAGACACGGGTTGATCAGGCCCAGGCCCAAACCCGAGGGATATCAAACAATTAATATGTAACCGAACACAGAACATAAAACGAAATAAGAAATAAACTAATAACTGAAGGAATGCTAAATTAAAATCCTCAAAATATAATTACTGAAATCTGTTAAGTCCAAACTCCAAAACTCTATAAGTTACAACTCGGGAATCCATCCAGTGGACCCTTATTAAAAATCCCAAAAGAAACTAAACATCTGAAATAGAAACTAAAGGTAAACATAGAAAAGATTCCTACGTAGTCGGAGGAATGAATGTCTATATCTACTCTACACGTCCAAGCTCTAACCCTGGAACTGACAAACACCTGAAAAATAAAAGAGTGGGTCGGGCCCACATGTAAGTCATATTCTACTACGATCCAAACAGTAATCCGATACGCATATACATCCTAGGAAAACTCAACAATATCTAGAGTAGTCCATATGTATATATATTGTAATACCCCGTATTTTTTTAAAGTGTTTATTTAAATTAATTATGTATTGGGTTAATTAGTTAAATGTGTAGATTTATTCACCTATTAATTGTGTATGTTAAATTATTAAATTAATCTTATTTATTTGTACATGTAATATTAATTATAGGTTCTTTATATTATAATGTTAATTGGTTATGTTTTATATTAAGTAATATTAGTTAATTAAAGTAGTACGTTTGTAAAGTAGTGTATTATTATGTAATAATAATAATAATAATAATAATAATAATAATAATATTATTATTATTATTATTAAAACTATGTCATGATATAACTTTGAGATTAGGATAGAATCTCATTTACTATGGTGGAATTTTATGCCAATTATTTGACTTAGATTGCATGGCTTAAAGTAATATAGGTGGGAAGGTTTTGATAGTTATGATAAATTAGATATTTGTAATATTTATATTATAAAAGTTAGTATATATATGTTAGTTAGCTTATCAATTGAAGGGGATTCACGTAAGTAGGATAGGAAACAAAAAAAATAAAAGTGAGCTATTTTATAAGACTAAAAGGAATAGGGAGAGAGAAAGAAGCTTGAACCAGTGTAGGTGATTTTATCCGACTACGCGCAATCGGCGGATTTGTTTCAAATCAAATTATTATCTACTTTTTCCCTTTGAATCCATAAATTAATTATTTAATTTATTTAGATTATTTTGGAGCATAGAAAGTATGCTAGGATTTTAATAAATTATTATTTTTTAGTTTATTAAATTAATGAAATTTTAATTATTAGGCTGTTAGATATTTATTTATTTGTCTATGTAATTAAAATTTAGCTAAAAATAATTATTTAAGGCTTTAGGGATTTTTTTAGAATTTTTTGGAATTTTCCAGGATTTTTTTGACATTTTCGGCGAGACTCTGGCGAGATTTCCGGCCACCGGCAATGGGGAAGGTGACCGGAGTAATTCGGTGTGATGTGGCGCACTGTAAACTCGCATCCTGGCCATTAGTTGAATCTGATTGATCCGGTGCATCGCAGTCCATGTTACTGTAGTACACCCGGATCAAGAACCTTTGGATTAGGTGATGATAAGGTAGATTCATCCAGTGTAGCGCGCCCATAGCAAGACCATGCAACCAATGAATCACCAAGCGCCACGTCAGCAGGAACCATTAGTGCGCGCGTGGCTGATGCCAAACGGGTGTGGGGGCGCGTGTAAGCGCGTGCGCGTGTAAGGAAGGTGGCGGTGCATGTGGGAAGCTCTGGGAGGCGCGTGAGGGCGCGTGTGGGACTTCTGCAGTTGCTGGAAAAGTCCAGAATACCCCTAGGGACTGAT